GGCGAAGTGGGCCGCCGACGCTCTTAACCAGTCGGCGACCAAGGCCAACCCCGGGCGGCGCTCGCCGCACGAGATGTTCACCGGCGAGCAAGGGCCGTTCCGCGTGCTGCCGTTCTTCCAGCCCGGCTTCATGCGCGAGGATCGCCGCACCAAGCTCGACGACCAGGCCACCCTCTGCTTCTACCTGAACGGCGGCGACAACCACCCGAGCGGCACCGTCAAGGTCCTCAAGGCGACCACCGGTCGCGTCGTCTACACCAACAACGTGTCGTGGGTGACGTCGGCGCCAGCCGGCGAGGGGGGTTCCGCTGGTATCACCGCTGCACCGACACCCCCCCCGTTCACGCCGCCGGTCGTCTCGATCAACTTTGGCCCAGCACCGACGCCTTCGACTGCCGCAACGACACCTGCCGCAACGCCGCCGCCAGCGACCACGCCGCCGTCCGCTCCCACGCCTTCACAGCCGCCCTCTGCCACTTCGCCGCCACCGTCGGCGACCCCCGCCCCTGGCCAGCCGTCTTCTGCCTCTTCGCCGTCACCGTCGGCGACCCTCGATCCAGACCAGCCGCCGCCGCCGGACCCCGCGATGCCCCCGCTTACTGCTCACGCCATGCGGCAGCTTCGCCCGGGTAAGAAAGCCGAGGGTATGACAGACCCGCGGCTGCCGAGCCGCACAAGATCGGGGACGAGGCACAGCACAGGACTCATCTCGATGCTAGACAAGAACACTCTGGTGTCGATGCTGGAGGCTCGGAGCGCGGTGGATGAGGAGCAAAGGGAGCTGGGGGGGGCGGAGGCCGGAGAGCCGGGGGGAGCGGCGGCCGGAGAGCAAGCGGGAGCACTCGCAGCGGTCGACCCGGGGGCTGGAGGAGCTGGCTTGCCACTCGCATTTGCCACGCTCCTCGCCAACCGGGAAGACATCGACGCCACGCTGCGAGACCAGCGCCCGCCGGAGCAACGCCCTGACCTTCCGCACTGCCAGGCTAGCGACCTTCGTGTTCCAAAGAGCTACAACGAGGCCATGGCGTCGGAGCACCGGCACCTTTGGAGCGACTCTATGCAAAGGGAGTTTTATGGCTCGTTGGAAGCAGGGACTTTTACTCCGGCGAAGTAGCAACTAGTGGAGAACGCAATTAACGGTAAGTGGGTATTCGATTGGAAGGCAGATGAGTTTGGATGGCCCACTAAGGTGAAGTCGAGACTTGTAGCGAGAGGTGATATGCAGAGAGAGTACATTGACTTTGGAGAGCTGTACGCGCCTACCGTTTCTGTTTCGTGTGTTAGGATGTTGGCTGCGTTGGCGTGCGAGTTGAACCTCGACTTGTGTCATTTCGATATTGAGCAAGCTTTTGTGCGTTCGGAGTTGGAGGAAGACGTGTACATGCGCCTACCGCAGGGATGTGGAGCTCTATCTGGAATGATTGTAAAATTAGGCAAGAGTCTGTATGGCTTGAGGCAGGCATCTAGGCAGTGGCATGCAATGCTAAAGAGGTGTTTGATGGCGTTAGGTTTTGAGCAGTGCATGGCCGATGCTTGTGTGTTTCGTTTGATTGAGGATGGATGTGTTGTTTTGATTTTGGTAGTACATGTAGATGGCATTTTTGCTGTGGGAGAGAGGGAGAGATGTGACAAGTTTGGCGCCGACCTTAACAAGTCCGTGCCAGTGAAGAACCTGGGAGAGTTGAGATGGTATTCTGGGTGCTTTTACGAGAGGAACAAGGAGACCGGTAGGTTGACGATTTCTCAGCAGACTTTCACGGACGAGCTAGCAGCAGAATATGGAGTAGTGGGAGGTAAGAGCGTTCCGATGTCTTCGGGGGTGAAGCTTTCTGATTTTGATGCGGATGAGGTGGCGACAGACTTTCCGTTTCGTGAGCTGGTAGGATCGTTGATGTGGCTGGCGACTCAAACTAGGCCAGACATTGCGAATGCGTAAGGGCAGTAGCTAGGTATTGCGCATCTCCGAAGCTGGTACACTGGAATGCAGCGATGGATATTTTAGGCTATGCGAGGAGGACGAGTCACTTTGGTATTTCGTTTCAGAGAGGTACGGTAGAAGGATTCAGCTTGCAGGGGTACGCTGATGCGGACTTTGCAAGCAAGGCAGCAGACCGTAGGTCGGTATCAGGGGGAATCGTGACGTGTGGAGGAGGCGCCGTGTCTTGGTTTTCCAGAACGCAAAAGTGCGTTACGCTTTCGACGACAGAAGCAGAGTACGTCGCGCTTGGTGATGTAGTGAAGGAGGTTTTGTTTTTGAGGCAGGTTTGGCGTTTCATGCTGCCACAGGTTGGCATGCCGTGCATCCCAATATTCGAGGACAACCAGGGGGCGATTCAACTAGCGCAGAACCCCATCTCGAACTCGAACTCGAAGCACATAGATGTATGGCACCATTTTCTCCGGGAACTGGTAGAGAGGAAGGACATTTCGGTAATCCACGTGCCGTCACCGTTCCAGCGTGCAGACTTTCTCACGAAGAGTTTGTCGAAGGATGCTTTTGAGTCTCACCGTGATTTTGTGATGAATTTGGCATGAGTGTTCATTGTGTGTCTGATGAGTTTGTTTTGGTTTTGTTTCGTTTTCCGCGCCAAGTATTCGCTACGCGCGATGGCATATTTGTTTCTTTGAATTGTTTTTCTAGCTCATATTTTGGCATGATCTTGATGGCATATTATTCTGGAAAAGACGTCTTTTGGTTGAGATATCAGATGTTAGCGAAGTTTTCAGTGAGAAACTAACTGTTGCGAGCAGGGGGGATGTTAGATATACTCGCAGCAGTATCTGGTCGTGAGGATCCCAGGGGGATACGTGTTGGGAGTTTCGTGTGTTGTGGGGTACCACCGGTGCACTCACGGGGACCCTTTTGGCGTGGCGGATGTGATGAGGCTTGCGTGCGTGCAGCTCACTTCCTCTCTCTCTCCACCACCTCCACTCGTACGCCCAGACGCTGAAGAGGGTCGAATGCCAGAGCGTTGAAGCCAAGATCCGACAACGACGCCTACCGTTCGCGGGAGCACTGGCAAGGCAGCCGGACGGGCGACTCCCGAAACGACTGATGCTCGGCGAACTGGCGGGGGGGGAGAAGCCACGTAGGGGGGGACAGGAACAGAACTGGCCGAAGTGTGTGCTCGACGACCTGAAGGCATTCGGGGCCGACCACGGATCTACGAAAACCGACCCATGTTGTCTCGGAATTCCCGTACCGAAAGACACGGCACCGAAGTTAAGATGGACGGAAGCCGCGAAGGTGGAGGGGGGAGTACCCTGGCATGCGGCGGTGCTGCAGGGAGCTGAGAGGTTCATGACCTCCTGGCACGAGAAGGAAGAAGAGGCCAGCCGACAACGAGCGCTCAAATGAAACCACAAGCCAACAACCAATGGGGCGGGAGGGGGGCAGGAACCGGACGAGACGGCGAGGGAAGAAAGCAAACGAGAAGAGACGGACCGAGTGGCACGACACGTGCCGGATTGAATTTATTTTAGCCAATTCCCCCCCCCCAACGCTGCACAACGCTGCACCATTGCACGAACCCCCCACTAGTGATGACGTACCATTACCATGTATCGCTGGTTGGTGGCCATGTTTGCGTGTTTGCTTGTTCGTTAGTGGTCTCTCCACCGTGTGCCTTGCTCTGCCTCATACTTACTTCTTGTTATTTTCAGCCTGGTCCCTCTTTGTCCTCGCCCTTTTTCATTTTATTTTCATTTTATTTCTATTTTCTCTTCTCCTTACGGTTTCCATTTTTCTCTTTTTTCTCTCTTTTTTTCTCTCTTTTTCTGTGCCAGATGTCCTTGTCTCTGCTTGCGTTGTGAAGTACCAAGATTGAACCAAGGGGGTGTACCTCTTTCTCTCCGGCCCATGATAGATAGTGACTGCTAGTCTCAGTTGATACCTCGCATAGCGCGAAGAGGGAGTGGAGGATTCCAGAATTTCTGTCGTTGATTTCTATTGACTTGCGGACCCCTCGGGGCCAGTTTATTTGAGTGTACCTTTTTGAGGGTAAGTTAACCTGTGACCACGGGAATCGACCGCGTCGAGTGTTGGATCAGTACGGACATACGAAGGTACTGGGTAGAGAGAGATCGGAACGGTTTTTAATGTGAAGACAACAACAACAACAACAATAACAACAACCGTCTCTCTCCAATCAAGTTTCCTTCTCCCACTCTCTCTCCAACTCTCTCTCAACCTCTCTCTCTCGGCCTAACACGGCCGACTACCCAGTGCCCCAAGTAACGTCCAGAACGTGCTTGCTGCACCCCGCGTAGTTTACCTTTCAACCTTTTTAGGGTAAGCTAGCCTGTGACCACGGGAATCGACCGCGTCAAGTGTTGGATCAGTACGGACATATGAAGGTACTGGGTAGAGAGAGATCGGAACGGTTTTTAATGTAAAGACAACAACAACTACTACTAATGACGGTGGGTGGTTGTTGAAGTTGGCGGGTGTTGCTTTGTAGGCGGACGACAAACACACCGATCCACTATGATGATCAGACATTCAGTACCGAGGGCTACGAGTTTGCCCTTCTCCCATTCGGAGGCAGAAGTTCGAAGATCTCTACGAGGTTCTCCGCTGTGCATCGTCTGGGCGCGTGGTATGATACGCTACGCAATGTCGATCGATGTCTGTCTCGATGTCGGTGCCAAACTGCTGTCAAACGTTCGGTTTCCCTCCTCTCACTGCCGTGAAGGCTTGAGCACCTCCCCTTCGACTGCCGTGGTTATATCTCGAACGGGTAATCGTTCTGCGGTTTTAAATGTAGATTTCTAGAGAAGAAGTTAGAAAAGAGCCAGTTTTTTGTCAGTTTCACGTTTTACGGAGATCCCAAGCTTCAGCCCGAAGGCGTTACTCATTGCCGGGGGGGGCACGCAGGCTGGAATAGCCACAGAAATTGGAGATGCTGGATGGGCGAGGAGCGGAGATCACATCACATCGCATCGATCGAGATCACGCATCGCGACAATCCATAGATAGATTATCACAGCTGCGCAATAACATGTCGAAGATCTACCTGCACTATGAAGGAGAGCGGGGCCCCGACCACACGTTCATTTGGCGCAAGGCAGGCGGCCTGCCCTTCATTGGCCGCGATCTGGGGGAGGCTCTTTCGGGATTTGTCGAGAGCTACGGCAAGAAACACGGGCGAGAGGCGTACGACCAAGGTGAGAAGGGGGACAGAGAGCCACGCGCGTACGTGTGTGGGTTCGTGTGCAGTGTGCATCACCACCGGTTGTGCGGTGGTGGTCTAACGGGGGAGTGTAAATCGTTTCCAAGAAAGTGGCGCCTTTGAAGGTGCAGTCTACACTGCTGCTGTAGCAGCGTAGATACGCAGTGGTATTCTCCGCTGTTTGCTTTGAGAGCTGAGCTGCTGTCGCATCTCTCCGGCACAGCGCAACTGCTCCTGTGTACTGGCACGTGATAGCAGTAACAGCAGGAGAAGATCTTACATCACTGCCGCACGTCGTTTGCTGCTCTTTCTAGATTTGCTGCGAGCTTCTTTGTCTGGTGGTACAGCAGTACATTATGTAGTCAGTTTGTCTGTGTGCGTACCGCGGCGCAACACACATTACGCCGCTGTCGCGTACCGTAGTCTGTATGCTCCTCCCATCCAATATGCATCTTGTAGTCTACTGCAGTAACACGGATGCATTGAATGCATCACCCGCCCTCTTTCGTTGTCTGGTGATCGAAGAGCCTTACGGTGCGGATGCAGCCTTGCAGTAAAGAGCGACTATATATTTCAAAGAGAAAGAGAGGGATGAGAAACTTACAGACAGACAGACAGACAGACAGACAGACAGACACCTTAGCTTGCCCGCACCCCAAAGTGACATGTTTTTGATACAAGCAGACCAGCCTTCTTTTCACGGCGGTGCCACCGTCCCTCCGGTGTCGTATTGCCAGGCAAGGGCATGGACGCCTCCCGGCTCCGGCTCGTGGCCGACCCCCCGGACCCGTTGGGGGCGGCAGCAACGGCAGCGAAGGCGGTTGTTCTTGACGTCACCTCGAACGCAGCGGTGGACCGGGCCATAGTGCACACGGGATGCGACATCAGGGTCGAGGAGGGACCTACGGGAGACGAGAACGGCAAAGTGAAGGAGCAGAAGTCGGCGGGCGGTGGTGCGACAAGCGTAGGGGCGCCGGCGCCGGCCGCGGCGGCGCCGGCGCCGGTAGCAGAGGGCGTAGCGGCAGCGAAGGCGGGACCGAACGTGGCTGCGAGGGCCAAGAAGGTTGGTGGTGTTGTGGGATTGCATGATGCGAATGTTGATGGTCGTGCTTTGAGGGTAGTGGCGGTGGTGCGGTGGGGGCTGTCGCTGCTGCTGCTGCTGCTGCTGCTCCCGCTGTTGTTGCTGTGTGGCTGCTAACGTAGGCGCCGTAGCAGCGGCTTCGATGCCGATGCGGACCGACGCCCGTTAACCGTTGCTTGTGCTTCGCCGCGGACCTCTCTCGCTGTTTTCTGCACGACAGCTGGCCATCAAGGCGGAGAAGATGATGGCTCGGAAAAACCTTCGCGGTGCAAGGGACGTGGCCAAAGAGGTGCTACATGATACGCGTTGACTAAATAGATGCAATTCCTTTTCTTTAGCTTCTGGTTTGCCACAGTCTTGGTGCATTCGGTGGACGTGTGATCGGCGTTGCCAACCTCGAGGGTAAGCTTAGAGAATGTACATGGAGAATCCCCAGCAGTGTAACTCCAGAAGCTATTCTTGTTATCTCGGCTTTCTGCCAGTCTCTCTCTCCCTCTCTCCCTCTCCCTCTCTCTCTAGTTTTCTCTCTTTATCTCTCCTCTCTAATTTTCTCGCAACTCATCCACGGGCATCCTGTGCGTCGCGTGGCTCGTGCCATCCGAGCACCGAACGGTGCGACATTTAACTTGCTCGAACGTTCTCTTTTGTGCCTTTTTTCCGTTCTTTTTTTTTAAAAAAACCTCTTTTGTTCCCCCTCCCCAAGTCGTCCCTGCGTTGTTGATGTCGACAGCCGCCGTCGTAGTCCATTGTGTCATCATCACTTGTTCACTGTCTTGCTATGTCGCCTTGCTATGTCGCCTTCCTGGTTGCCGTCTTGCCTCATTGTGATGGTGGTTCCAGGCTCTTGAGGCCGATCCCAGGAACGCAAGGGCGCTGAGATGCCTGGCGGACACTTACTACAAGGCCGGCCTCATTGACGAGGCTTTCGCTGCCACCAAGGTATGGTATGGCATGGTTACCCGGCTAACGGAGGGTCTCATGTTATTGCAGGGCAGCTCTTGTCGGTTCTACTGACTGCTCCACCTTGTTCTCCACTATAGTCTATGCATCAAATTGTATGCATCAAATTGTGTTTTTTTTTTTTGGGTATGTCTGCTTGTCCCCCTGCTATGACTTTCGTTCTCACCGCTGCTGCACCTTTAACTCGCTTCCTCGCGCCTGGTTACACTTGGTCCCGATTGTATCACAACAACAACAACAACAACCACGCTTGCAGAAGCAAACAACGCCTTACAATACCCTTGCTTTGGGTCGTGTGCGCGGACGCATGGGCAGGAGTGCTGCTCAAAGGCAAGCGACGGCGGATCTCCGGCCGACTTCCTTTTGGCCGGAAGGTGCCTCACGCAGTTAGAGAGGTACCACGAAGCCACCACAGCCCTTGGCAGAGCCCGGTGAGTTGGCGGAGTTGTGTGGCTCCTACATGCCGTGCGCACGCGGTTCAATGCATGCGCAAGAGGTTGCGAAGCGCGCTACCACGTATAAGGACAGCTCGACACGAGGTATTTCCAGAACCAAGCTCTTCAGAATCGCACCCTCTGCTTCCGCAGCCAAGGGGTATGGATGAACCCGCGTACTTCCGGCGTGAGTCTCTCGCTCGGCAGTGGAGGGCCGCGGATGCGGGGGCCCGTGGCGTAGAACCAAGACGGACAGCTGCTCCCCCGCCCTTGTGAAACGTAGTCTAGGCCGGCGAAAACGCTCCATCCCGGCATTGTAGGGATGCAAGGTCCATGGTCTAACGACTACGGCATGCGTTTACATGAGTACACGCCCCTTATCTCTGAACATCGCGGTCAGTTCCATGTTCGACTTTTTCGTTTGCGTGTCTGCCGGTGTCCACCCCGGGCGCCGCGCGTATCATTGCCATAGGACCGCGGGTCAGGGAGGCCTTGTCGATGATGCCGATGCTGCCTTGGCTTTCTGCCGGTTCAAGATGGGGGACGCCCCCGGCGCTGGAAACATGTACATGGAGGTGCTGCAGAGGACCGGCGAGAAACACATCGAGGTGCACTTGCTGTAGCTGCTGCCGCCGTTAATGACGATGATGATGATGATAGTGATGATGATGCCTTTGTTTGTGTTCCTGCAGCTACCTGCTGATGCTGCTCTTGTTGGCGTGGTAATCTGCCGTTAGGTTGTCGTTTGGGTTGCCGTGTATTCTACGCGTGCGTGACAACTCGTGCGTGGCGACGCCACGCTCCTCGATATTGTAAGTTCACCTCATGCACCCACCCTACCCACAGATTGTCGTGCGGAACCCCCGATGGACATGCTGGCGGTCGACCAGCGTGCTTCCAGCCTCCCTCACGCCCAGCCTTTCTGTTCTGTTGTCGTATTTGCTTCGTTGCTGTTGGCAGTCGCTGGTGGGCTACGGACGCCTCGCGCTCTTGTTCAAACAGACGGACAAAGGTGTGCCTTCGCTGCTCAGGGCTATCATGTCGGACCAGGTACACTGTATTTGCTGCGCTATGCTTGCTGTTCTAGTTCTTGGTATGTTTTGGTACGCTATGCTGTGCTGTGCTCTGCTCTGCTCTGCTATGCGATGCTGTGCTATGTTCTCGCTATGCTTTGGTACGCTATACTGTGCGATGGTATGCTATTGCACCAAGCACAAGAAAGGAAGGCGTTGCAAGGACGCACGGGCGAATCGATGCCCCAGAAACTCATCGACGACACGAAACGGATTACATGAACAGACAGTCAGAGCAATGTAGGCATCAAGACATTGACATACAAAAACAGCGAATGCATGGCATGCACTGTACGGATAAAGAGGCACGGGAGTCAAGAAGGTGGTTCCTGGGTCGATTGAATCCTCGAGTACTGCGTAAATGAGAGGCGCAGGCAGCTGTGACGCAGGCCACCGGGACGTGGTGGTGGGCGGCGCGGTATATCTTTAACGTCTTCGACGATTTATCCGACTAGGCGGGGAATGACTTGCCTACCCCTCTTTGATGTTCATCGCTTGGCGCGCGCAATCGGAGCCTCACAACGGCCGTCTCGCCGGTAACTAGTAGGTGTGGGTGTCCGTTTCGTTCCGGTATCTGCATATCGAAAAGACCGGCAGTTACCGGCGCCACTCAAATGAAGGTTTGTGATTGCTTTTCTATCGCGTTGATTTCGCCGGGGCCCTATACCTTGCAGCGCAGCGGTGTGCAATCGGCGCCATTACCGCTGCTGCTACGTATGCCCGTGTCTCTCCCTTCTAACGTTGGTGCGGCACGTCTGTCTGTCTGTGGGTTGTATCATCATATCGTGTGTCATGTGTGATGTGTCATGTGTCACGTGTGATGTGTCATGTGGCAGGACAACAAAGAGACGAGGAAGGTCTTGGCGGGTTCGCTCGGCATCCCGGAGGGCATGAAAGCGTTCAAGGCTCAGGTGCGCCCAGCACAGGAGGGTAGCGGTAGAAGCGGAAGGAGCAAGACGCATTCCTCATCGTGTAGCGGGAGTGGCAGTCTTGCGCCCCAGCAGCAGAGAATCCCGGCATGAGCAGTGGCAGGGTGGGGATTCCGTATTACCCGCCCCCACGTATGTCACCCTCCCTGTTCTCTTCGCCCCTAGCGACATTTTATCAGTAACAGGGGTACCACAGAGAACACGCGAGGCACATGGGGTCGTTCGAATTGCAGCTCTTGAGATGTCGATGACACCAAAGGTATCAGAACGGGTTGCGTCGGAGAACCTTCCTTTTCCTCGGCTATCCCGCTCGCTTGCACTCCGAAACGCTAGCGATAAGTCTACATATAATGTCGCAAGGATCGGTTAAGGCACGGGACGAACAAAATTTAACCATATGGCAATCTATTCCACATGATCCTTGCAAAACAACACAGTAGGAATCACCTGCACGGTAACCTTTCTGAGTTGTTGTAGTGTATGTTGTTGTTGTTGTTGTTGTCTTCACATTCACAACCGTTCCGACCTCTCTACCCAGTTTTTATTGGTAGAGCCTGGATTTGCTGTGCCCATGTGGCAAAGGAAGCACGAGAGTAGGCCGCACAAAATACGTGAAATGTGCGTCTCCCGTACAGCGGTTGGCCGGAGACGCAAATAGGGGGGAGATTACCCGACGTGACATCGTTCCATTGTTCTGCAAGGCGCCGCTTTGCAACATTCTGCCGTTGTTGTTGATCTTGCGTGGCTAGCAAGACCTCGCCGTGGCACGCACCTATGCACGCATCTGCGGAAGCAAAAACGATCGATGGCCGCGAAATGCTAGAAAGGGGGCTATCATAGCCACGACACGAACAAGGCGTCAATCCTCATGTAGCGGAACACGGCCGGAGGCGTTACGAACAAGAAGAGGGTCACCGCATGAATGAACGGCACATTGATACCCCGCCACCCCCGGTGTTCGCCATCGGGATTGGGTTTTCGTCGCTTGGCAACGACGTTGTAATACAACCCGTCCCCCCCCGATGTTTGCCATCGGGGTTGGGCTTTCGTCGCTTGGCAACGACGTTGTAAACCAAGCCAATTCACTTCGTGAACTCGGCAACCAGGTTACCGGGGTTTTTTACCTTTGTTTTTTTTTGCCGTAACCATAATGATGGTCGAGTAGATCATGTTGTGGTGGGTGGAGAAGCCTCACTCCGCGCAAGGGGGATGATCGCACCACGTTGTGTTACATTGGTCAAGCATCCTCGAGGCAGTTACACAGTGCTATAACTGTCTCTGAAAGTGAAAGTACCAGAAAATAAATTAAGTCATACGCAGCTGTCATCCGTACGCAAGGTAGTAAGCACGAGATGCCGAACACCCTTAGCAGGATGCAGCGCACCCTTCATGCGACTCGCCGAATACCTCACGGCGCTTCGCGCTTGGTGATGTGAGAGCCTGGTCCGGTGAGAACCCGGCGTGCTCCGTTCCGGCTTTGTAGGGATGCGAGGTCAATGGTCATACGACTACGGCATGCACGACTATGAGTACCCCCCCCCTCCCCCGAGTAAGCACAACATGCCGAACCCTTAGCAGGATGCAGCAAACCCTTCATGCGACTCGCCGAATACCCCACGGTGCTTCGCGCTTGGTGATGTGAGAGCCTGGTCCGGTGAGAACCCGGCGTGCTCCGTCCCGGCTATGAAGAGATGCGAGGTCAATGACCTAACGACTACGGCATGCACGACTATGAGTTACCCCCCCCCCATTTTTCCCTTCCCCCGTTGCCGTTGCTGCCGCCGGTGCGTGCGTGCGTGGTATGCAGGTGGTGCCTTCGAAAGAGACTTCGTCGGTCTACTCGTTCCTCGCCACGGTTACCAAAGACTATGGCGAGATCGACGCCTCCGTTCAACTCCTCGAGGTGAGCCGACGTATTTATGTTGTTGCAAATTGGACATATGTGATGGGTACCGCGCGGGATTGCATTGTTAGGGGCGCCGCCTTTTACGGATGGAAATGCCGTACGGTGACGGGTAACCGTACGTGCGGTCCTTGTTCATTGTTTGTTCTTCATCCGGACCCATCGTTTTCTAGTGTTGCAATCGACACGGCACGTAGGGTCGCACGTGGTTGAAAGACACTGGTATTTTGCATATCTACGAGATTGGCGAATCAAAACTCGTTTTGTGTGACGCTCGTGGATACGTCCGTCGCAAATGAACACCCAAAGGTGTCCCTGTACACTGCCCCCAGAGCAGAACAGGTAGAACGAATGCCCGCACAAACCACTCCGTGTTGCACCCCGTGCATGCAAAGGGCCTGTATTTTTGTACTGTACTGTACTGTACCACATGACAACGATCACGACAGCACGGTGACCGCTATAGTCTTTTGAGCATCGGCATTGGCCAGAAACGGGTATGCCCTGGCGATGTATATCGTCATTTCCGGGTACTGGAAAATGCTCAGCGCGCATGCACCCACCGGGAGCGATCTGATTGGCCGAAAGTATCATGGCGGCCATTCCTCTGGAGACCTGACTCGGGTATACCGTCCCTTCCGTCTCAGCTCCCAGTTCAAGTGCCGCTGGCGACTAGTGTTCCCGGAACTACAGTAGTCTGTACCAGTTTCGGGTACAGTAGTCGCCAGCGGCGCTTGAACCGAAGGTCGAGACGACCGTGTGCCAGGGTGAGGTCTCTCGACCAATGGGTACAACGGTATTCTTGGCCAATCAGATGGCTCGCCGGGGGTCCATTCGTGCTGAGTTTTCACGTGTACCCGGAAAGGGTGGTGTATATCGCCCGGGAATACCCGTTTCTGGGTATTTCTTTTTTTTGCATGGGGATTGCCGTTATGTTTGGAGCAGCTCTCGCTGTAATGTCGATCCAACATTCTATGTAGCGCAAGGTTGAGGCGAGATTTTCGTGCTTTCGGAATACGGCGGAGGAGTCGTCGCGTACAAGAGACGGAGAACGCCGGGTTGAAGTGGCACGCCCGCCCGTGCACAGCAGTTGTACACCTTCAGGCGCTATGGAACACGCCGAAGCCGATGACGGCTGTCCACTCCGGCCGTGAGCATGTTTGTGAAGATCACGATCGTTGGTGCATGACTCACCAAGGGTTGGTTCTCCGTCGAGACTGCTTCTGAAACAAACGTTTGTGAGGAGGGCTACTGTAGCACTTTTGCCGTTCTCCGCCAATGCTGATGTGAAAACGCTGGCACGTGTGTGTGTTGGCCACCAAAACCACCCCATCGAAATGCCAGTACAAAAGCCCGCCCCCGAACCTGCACCGAACACACCGAACATGCCCTTACCGATATCGCAACAACAACAACAGATCGATCCCCTTAACGACATCGAAACGATCGCAGAATCGATCCGCGAACCGACATCAATACCGCTATCGAACCACCACCACCCGATACCGAAACGAAACTCGAACCAATACCGTCAAATCGAACAACCCCGAACCGGCAACGAACAAGCAGGTGGCGGCGTCGATCGACCCTACCAACGCTTCCTGCGCGCTCGGCCTTGTGCACGGCCACGAGATTAGGGCGGACTACGCCAAGGCCTTAGCCTCAGCCAAATCGTTCCTGGCACGAAATCCCAACGGAGGCGTTGGCGCTAGGGGCGTCAGGAACAGGCGCGTGGGGTGTTGTGGATGGACGGGCGGACGAAAGCCGTCGGCGAAAGCGTTGTATGTGCTGTAGGGGCATCGGTAGGGGGGGGGGTGTTAGCAGCGTTTGGCAAACATTCGTCGGCGTAAGGATTGAGCGGTGTCAGAAGAGGGGGGGTGCGACAAGCGTGTATACCCCGGAATGCTGCCATGGCTGATCTCACGTTTACGGGCGTCCTACCCCTCCACAATATGCACCCTTCCCTTGATCTTGAGGCCGTCCTGCTTCTCCCCTCCGGCACCCCCTGTATCCCGCCCCCCTCCCTGGCTGTCCACCCCCTTCTTTTTCTTCCTCCCAGCGCCGTTCTCAAAGTCTTGGAAGGCGTGTCCGCCTGCTCCTCCTCCTCGCTCTCCTCCCCGCCCCCGGTGTTCGAGGACCTCGGGAAGGTGGTGCACTGGACCACCCTGCCCGACGGAGGCTTGTCCTCCTCCCGGGCGCCACCAGCTGCAGGGTCCAGCGATGAGGACAACATCAGCTTCGCGTGGTGCGACGACGACGATGCTACCGCCTCGACGCGGGCGACTGTGACAGCCGTCGAGGATGATGGGATGGAGGTGGAGGTGGAGAGGGAGGGCGAGGGGGAACGGAGCGGGAGAGAGGTGTACAAGGGTCTGCTGCAGGCGGGCGGCGGGGGGAAGGAGATGTACGCGCCAGAGCACTTGGACGTCCTCGCGCTCTACTTCGCGATCGTCAAGGTGTGGTGATGGTGTGCCTGTAATTGCTGATGTTGATGTGGTTGTGGCAGTTGTTGCTGTTTTCGGCCGTATTTTTCGCGATGGACGAAGGTGTAGCGTGCTGGGTTGCGGTGTTCGTGTAATTTTGCCCACGCGCTGCCTGCTTCACGTTGTTGTTATCGTCGTCGTTATTGTCGTTGTTGCGGTTGTGGCAGCTGGTTTGGTAGTGTTTGGACCAGTAGCAAGCGCTGCTAACGGCGGTGGCACAATTCGTCGCTCCTTTCCCCCCGTGCCCGCTGGCGATGGACAATGCGTTGTACACCTCGTCGGCCACTGCTTTCCAGTATGTATTTCAGTTGAGCGTTGGCATGGGCTTGGGGGGTACAGGCATCTGTGTTGCTCTATAGACTTACTTGGAGGTTCCTGGGTGTGTCCGTCTTTGTCTTCAAGCATTGTTTCTGTGCCCGGCTCGAGCTCGCAATCTGAAATGTAGCGTGCTTAGTGTCGAGCTCCGGTTGGTTTCGTGTTGCCGTTCTTGGCATTGCATCCCCGTCCTCCATGCGCGAAATAGTACCAGTCGCGTGCCCCCTATGTTGTTTCCTCGGCGTTACCTCTGCTATGCTTGACAACGACTCCTGCTGTTGGTGCGACCTCCTTGTCAGAGGACGAAATGATGCCTTTAGGCAGCGACTTGCCGTTGTATGTGTCTATGGATGATGCATGTACTCCTGCCTTTGTTTTCGGCAAGATCCATGTACCAATTTCCCAGGCCGCATCTTTCTTGTAATTTTTTTGCAGAATCCATGCGCCTGTTTCCCAGGCCACATCCACATTGTTCTTTCCTAGCAAAATCCGTGCAGCGACTCCCCAGGGCTGTATCTTGTTCTTCTAAGCAAAAATTCCCGGCCTCGTGTATAATTTTTGTTCTATTTATATGTTACACTATGTGTAGATCTTGTACCTGGAGGGGAAGTGGTCGTGCCTCCCTCAGCTGCTGGAGCTAGTGGAGCCGGCGCGGTTGCGCTCCCTCATGCCTCTCCACAAGACCACCATCAGGAACGAGCAGGTGCGAAGCTGCTTCCGAGCCGTTGGCTGTTCGTTCGTGTGGATCATATTTTTGCCTCTTGGTTATAATTTCGTCCTGTTGGCAGCCATGTGTTCATTCCTTTGGGTTGGCTCAGAAGTACATCCTGTTGACAGGGTCTGCTGTCAGGTGGTCCGTGGGCACGGCAAGTACAGTAAAGGGTTAAACCTTTACCTTCAGTGATACTTTGCATAGACTATGCATTGTCAGATGATAAGATAAGAAAGGGTCTCCACGACCACGTTTTCAGCCTGTATAGTGGCAACCCTCCACGTGCTGAGCGCATCACACACTGACCAGAATCATGGTACACCCCTTGGCTCTTGGTGATGTGAGAGCCTGGTCCGGTGAGAACCCGCCGCGCTCCGTACCGGCTTCGTAGGGATGCGAGGCCAATGGTCAGGCGACTACGACTTGCACGGCTATGAGTACTCCCCCCCCCCCCCACCCTCCTCTCTCCCTTGAACCCATCCTTGTCCATCAACATGCACCCAGGCGTACTACTGCTGCATCACGCAGCTGCTGGCATCGTGGACCCGTCGCAGTTGCACCGCCTCCGGCGGCGTCGAGGAAGAGAAGAAATCAGCCGAAGGCGACGGTAGCGACGACAAGGAGGCCGTCTACGTTTGCGGGGACTCGCACACGCTCACCCCGGCTTGGCACGAGGTCACGGTGGGCGGAAAGTGAGTTGGAAGATACAGTAGGCTGATGGCCTTTAGGGCTGTAATTCTACACCGTAGCCGCGTGATTGGTTCTCTGAGTGTGACGCTGTTTGCGCCTAGCAGGTGGTGACAGCAGCCCGTAGATGGACGTAGATGGACGTACACATGCCGAATGTTGCAATCGGGGTTAAGGCCGGTAACATATTTCTTCTTCAAAGTCTGGAGTAAGGATGTTAAGTCGCAATCCGTGGTACTACAGTTGTTGTTATGTTTATCAAACGCTTTTTGGCGGCCGCCTTGAGTAAGTTCGTGGATGGCATTAACAGCCTCTGACACGTGGACCTCTCTGTAACCATTCTGCCAATAGTGTTTGGACTCAAAGTCCGGCTGATCATAGCGTTTTGTTCCAGCCCGAGTGCACAGCTTGCTTCTCTATCTGGTAGCTCGAACCTACTACATTCACGAGCCGTCGAAGTTAATCGACTCTTCGGCGTGCACAGAGCGGCAGGTATGCCGTGGTGGCTTGCCGCGTGTCCCCTCGCTCGTGTAGCAACAAGTCAAGCGTTTGCGGCGACTTTGGCCGTCGTTTTTTTTCCAGCTGCTTCGCCGCCCCTTACGCGTCAACGCGTCGCCAAGGCTTTGGCAGCCTTTTTTGTAATACCATTTCCACCTTTGTGCGCGTGATTTGGTCCGGTTGGGCGGTTTCCACGGTGTTGTTGCCAGGCGGCGGGTTCTGCGGCCGGCTCTGGTGACCGGGCTCAAGCACTGGCACCTGAGGCCCGAGAGCGACTTCTACCCCAAGAGGAACTTCGAGAGGTGCGTCCGGTAGTGTGGTGTTTGCGTAACTGAAAGAGGTATCGTCTCGTTGTGGCAAGGTGGCAAAAGAGGGTATCATGTTCCTTCTACCCCAAGACTCACAAGAAAAGAGGTGTCGTTTGTGGTGACGGAACGGCCAGGAAGGCGCAAGGATTTCGATGTATTTCAACAATGTCGTCACATAGGAGAAGTTATGCTGTATCTCGTCCGTACGAACGGGGCGTATGTATTCAGAGTGGTACATATCAGCCAAAATGAGGTATCATCTTGTGGGAGGATGACAAAACAGGGTAACAGCTCCTGGGAAGCTACATCCAGCATCGAAGGCAGGATGTTTGATGCATTAGTACGCGCAAGGCATCCACGAGCATGTGCATGTGGGCGGGGGCGTCATGTGTGTAGCGATCAATAGAATGGGAGCCCTCCAGGTAGTTATTATAGTTTGCAAAGAAATAACGGGGAGATTTCTTACGCCATGTGGCGCGATTGTGGCCAACAGAGCGCGTGTGGTAGGAAGGGGAGTTTCGCTCGGCGACGGTCCACCCATGGCGGAGTTCTTCGCCTCCCGGCGCATTTATGGAGGGTGCCGAATACGTTTCTGGGTGTGATGTGCCGGAGCGTTTGCTTCATAAGAGTCAAGGAGTGTTTGCGACGCACCATCTCACGGAGGGGGTGGGGGCAGTGCGCCGCGCGCTGTTGTAGTGGTCTGCAGTACTTGGCCTTTCGCAGGACCAATTCCCGTTCTGACGCAACACTGCTGTGGCTGACAGCCTGCCCTCTGCGGCACCTTTCATTTGTCAGTCGCATCAAATGTGCCAACTGTTTTCTTCCTCATGTATCCCCCCCCCCCTACAGCAAATGCAAAGACGTCGAACGGCCTCTGGTTCACCCTTGTCAAACGTAGCCTGGGCCGGCGAAAACCCGGCATTTAGCTCCGTCCCGACACATTTGTAGGGACGCGAGGTCAACGGCCTAACGACTACGGCATGCGTTTACATGAGTACCCCACAACCCGTTGCGATTGTCCCAGCGTGATGGCCAAGGTTCCCAACGGTTCGGCGGTGGTTTTCATCCTCGGAGAGATCGACTGCCGCGAAGGAATCCTTGTCGCCGTTGAGAAGCTCCGCTACAAGACCGCCGAGGAGGGCATCGAGCACACGGTCGGCATCTTTATCAAGGTAAGGCTGTGTGTGTGTTCGTCCCGTCTGTTCTGTAGGCAGTTTTCGCACCTTTCGGCGTACGTTTCGGTTGCATCTGCCGAGGTCAAGCAGCGGCGGTGTGAAATGAAGCCCAAGATGCTGTATGTGCAAGTGGGACATCAAGAGCGCCGTTGTAATCGGCGGCGTAGGTTGTGTTCGAACGCTGTAGCCCTCGCATCTGTAGCTGGCTCATTTTATCGAGGCGCGCTACGAGGACATGTACCTCTTACTCGCGCAGTTATTTCCTTGATACAGTAGTACCGTAGCACATCGCTCATTGCCGCTGTTGGTGGTACACCGTACGCCTATTTGTCCAAAGCATCCGGCCTTCGAGAACGGCAACATTGTGTGAAAGCCTTTGCCACAAATCTCACTCTCCCCCCGAGCGGTACAGGGGTGGATAGCAGTTCAGGCCGTACTCTTTGTGTGCTTCGCGGCGTAGTCAACAGCAGCCTGCACCCCGGTTTCCCTAACTCTACCCCTCTATCCCCCGTCCCCTCTCTAACAAGGTGGCCGAGGCCTTGTCGCGGGAGCGGGGGCTAAGGATCTTCGTGCACCCTGTGATTCCAGTGCTAGACGAGACCCGTGGCATGGTCAAGACCTACAACCGGTAAGAGCGGGTCATGGGGGAGATGACGGGGGGGGAGACGCAAAGCGGAATGATGGTGGTGGTCTGATCTGAGACACTGCCTGTTGCATGCGTAGACTGATGGTTCGACTGCACTGGGCGTTATGGAGACGGCTTGCGCGTGCGAGGCGGAAGGAGATGGCATCTTTAACTGTAGCCAGGGTAAAATTTATCCCGGGTGACTTAGGGTCTCGCACCGGAGTTGAGACGTGTCCATCTCCTCCGTCCTGTTGCTGTATTGCTTTTCTTTGTTTTTCGATTCGCGCTTTGCATCTAGTTGTCATGACAGCTCCTCCAAAAACGCACAATCAACGTAGAAGTATTAGCAAATAGTCCTGAATCAAATCGGTCCCTATGCGTACACCTGCGCCCTTTACGATCGCTCCTCCCTGCTGGAAACAACCTTTTCGGCCAATCTCTCCTCCCCAACACCGATGCAGCGTGTTCCGGCGCATGGTGGACAAGTCCAAGCACCTCCACTGGCTCGACTTCTTCGAGCAGCTGCTGGACGACACAGGCAGCAGCCTTCGACCAAACTTCCGCCTGGACGGCACCCACCTCGCCGCAGGCTACGTGGGCCTCCTCGAAAAGGCACTGGCGGATGCCTGGGTGGAGCGGCGGGGGGGACGCGGGAGCAAGAAAAAATATGAGGGGGGGGGGCGGGGGGGCGGTACTCGTAGCCGTGCATGCCGTTGTTGTGACCTCGCATCCCTGGACGGAGCACGCCGGTTTTCACCGGACCAGGCTAGTACATCGCCACGCACGAAGCGCCTTGAGGTGTAAGGAGGGGAGGGGGGAGGAACAAGTCCCAGGATCGGGTAGATGGAGGGTCGGCTTTGGGATGTCGTTGCTGCTGTCGTTGGGATTGTGGTGTGGTGTTCGGTGTTTTTTTTAGGAGTGTGTGTCTTGAGAAGCCTGATTTCTGCTGCGATTTGTTTTCGGGCGGTTTTCTTTTTGTTCTTTTGTTGGACGAGTTTCGCTTTCTGTTTTTCGTCGTTCGTTGCACGCGCGGTTATGTTACAGTAGCGGGGAGGATTGCGCTCGCAGCTGGGACTGGATAGTGTGTGTTGCGTGGTTTGGTTTTCGGCCATTCAACCCCCTTACGAACCATGTATTTCTTTTTTTGTTCTGATGGATGGGTCGATTGTTGTGGGTCGTTGCTGTAGTGTGTTTTGGTGGTTTATCGACAACGACGGTGTGCTCTCACCGATGGCGAACCTGGTCTCTCTGTGGTGGTATGAGCAGGCTGCGTGTGCGGGGTGGCGGTGGAAAGGGCTGCCGTCAGTGGACACGGGCGGGCCAACTAGTCGCCGCTGCTGGTCAGGTTGTCCTCCAAGGAATGCAAGCTCGTTGGTTGCGTTTCCAATCCCATTCATCTCCTCATGCGAAGCAAGAAGCAGCATGCAGTGCCATTCGACAGGAGCACACGTGCCAATCTTTCACTGCTTTTCCAACCGCGGTAATTCTGCTGCTGTAGAACCGGGATATGGGGGTGACACTGATGGCGGTCGTGCACAACACCGTAGGTACACCTGAGATCGTGGCCGCGAGCATCGACAAGGAGCATTCAGAAAATTGTCCCCGGCCTTGCGGTAGGAGCAAGGGAATACGCGGAGCAAACCAAAAAGTCATCCTGGCCTTTTGGAGCAGGGGAAGAAGAGAAGCATAGATAGCACGGCGATGGGCCGTGGGCGTCTTGCCCGATGTTGTCCGCTCCCCCCCCAAGCATTTCCATCACGGCTAGAACGGGCAAACATGATGTTCTTGACGATTGCGCTGGCGGCCAACAAAGTACCCGGGAGCAAAAAACGCTCTTCACTCTCGCAATTCCCTACTCGCCCATGATGTCCTGTGTCAAGCGCACTATTTCCTCTCTAGGCTCTGGATTCGAAATTGAGTAGACTACACACCACGAAGAAGGGGGAAGGGACTGCTGGCAGCCTACCCTCTTTCTCGCGACAAAAATTAATTGACGAGAGGGCTTCTCCTGTGTGACTTCCGTAGCCAGACTGACGCAACGATTTCAGCGGGAATTCGAGAAAACGTGCAACGTCAAACCCGAACGCCTTGGTTTTAGGGAGGACGGCCTGCTCCAGTATCAAGTGAAGGGAGAACCAAAAAATTGTGTCCCCGACAAATCCTGCCGTGCGTGTTTGTCAGTACCACCAGAATGGAATGGAAACCTACAGAGATTCGACGACGTGTTTACTGCCCAACGCACAAATGTTCATGTTGGCATGCCGAACGACGTGACGACCAATCGACCTGTGGCACAGAATTTGGCGGCGCGGGATACACGCACTGGTCATATCAAGTGGCCGACAACAGCAGTTTCTCGCCAACTGAAACGACAGGTACAATCAACGAAGAGAAACCATTAAACGTATGTTTGCATACGAGTGTTTTGTTTCCCCGCCTCTATCTGGAGAGGGTACATATGACATTCGGCCGAGTGCCGTGCCGATGTGGATGTAGGGGTAAAAATCGTCGATTGCAGGCAACAGCGGGGCGGGAGCCTCTTCGTCTTGACAGTCACATCATGCCTTCCCCGCGCACGGACGTTCATATCGAAATGTCGACGAACGTAATGAAAAACAGTGGGATTGTTGCATTGAAAACATTCGAAAAAAAAGTGGTCTGCCACCACTGCTCTGCTGTGCCATATGCCGAGAGCTGCTGGATGCCCCACAACAACAAAAAGAGTTCTAACGAAAACCGCAATCACTTCCATGATGTTTTTCGCACGATAGTTGTTCCTCTTACGGGTAACAAAACCCTAGAATATGAAGTCAACGCCCTTACTTTCGTCTCCGCCCTCTTCCACCCTCCCCCCCTACAAGCTGAGCATGAGGCCAGCCAAAGAGTCTCACTGGCCAACAGTGAAATTCCCGCAGCAGCTCGAACAGCAACAACAGAACCAAACCAAAACGACGAAACGAAACCAAGCAAAAACCGCAGCAGCGGCGTCGACAAATAAAATCCCAGCCAATAACACGAGCATCTCACATACACAGGACAAGGAGCCCAGCACAAACAAGTGCTTGTCTGCTAGAAACGCTATATCATTAAAACACACTCGAGTAAACTGCCCATGAAAAAAAAAGACAAATATCATTCGGAATTCAACATGTGCCTCTTGCCCCTACAAGCCAAGTCCCCCCCACCCAACCCCTACTTCTTCCCGCTGAACCTCACCCATCATGACCCGCCGGCTTACTTTGCTCCCACTCTGGGGACGCCCCGCGCACCCTCTAAGTTTCTACCCTCGCTGTTAGGTGAGCCCCGCCTCCGTCCCCGCGTGGGTTCGAAGCGCGTCTTTTGATTGGTTGTTCGACGAAGCCCGTTACAATAAAAAAAAAAAGACAGATGGGTCCGCACCCGTATGCATCAGGTGTTCAGGCCTCGGGCGTTAATGCAGCGTGTGTGTGTGTGT